TTCTTGGGATTTCTTGGGTTTGGGGTATGTGAACGGCTAGTGTAGCAAGGGATCTGGGCATTTAGGGTGCTGGTGCAAGGATGGTCTACGTTGGTTCACGGGTTGTTGTAGGATTTTCCATTGGGCAGTGGACATGGCCTTGAAAAGGGTTGGGTCCTGGACCCTACCTTGCCAGCGACAGAACAGCTGCATGGGAGCTGTCATGGAAGGTTTGAAGGAGTGAAACGGATGCAGGCCGCAGTACAGGATGAAAAGGCAGTCTGGAAGCCCAAGCTGAAAACAGGCCCCTTGTGTAGCAGCCTGCAAACATTCGGTTAGGAGGGAGCGCTGAAAACACATTCTTGCCTGTGATTATTAAGCCTCAGGTCCGCAGCAGCCGAGTAGCCGTGGGATGCTTCGTTAGGCCCCGAACCCTGAGACTGACAATTTGAACACGTAGTGTCAGAGTCAAGGTTTAGCCTTTTGGTTTTAGGGTATGGGGACAAGGAAGCCTGACCTTCTGCAGGTGTCGCCGCAGCCTGGCAGAGGCCCTGCACGCGTTGAACCGAGCAGCACACTGTTGAGTGTTTAGGAGGAGCCAGGTTCCGAAACTTCTGTTCCGAACGCACACAGGCTGCAAACGAAGCAAGCAATTGCTTCAGAGCCGCACAGACCACGGCGATGACCGCAGCCGGGCAACGTAGCTGAATGCAGCAGTCATGGAACATGTTCACCATGATGATTTTCGTGTCGTTCTTGGTGGCAGTGTACTTCCATAGTCATCGCAGGAGAAACGGCCGAAAGAACTAGCCCCGTCGTGACAGTGATGTGGATGAGGGTCCTAGTCTAGATACTGTCAAGCAGAACACAGATCTCAACTACCATCGTGAATAAACCACAGGCCGTGCCCTTGATTGTTTGTTGTCCTTGTCGCAACGTATCTTGACCCGCCTGATTTTGTTTGTTTCCTCAACTCCCCCCCCGTCAGGCACACCTCACGGCAGCAGCGACGCCGAGGCGGATTCCAAGCTGTTGCTTTAGAGCTGCAGAGGATCAGATTGAGGCTCTAAGTCTAGTGTTTGTAGTCTGGACCAGAAGATCTTAAATCCTAAACCTGCAATTCATTGCAGCTCTAAACTCTGAACCTCGATCCTGAATCCTAAATCCACACCCCAAACCGTAGAACCTAAACCTTGAACACTTCAACCCGCAAGTTTAAGCTTCACCCTAAGCCCACACCGCGAAAGCTAAAGGGCCTCCTGAAAGGCATCCGTTCTTGAAGACTGCCTTCAGGCCGCTTTCCCAGAAGAGGGGTGGTTCCATCGAATCTTCGGGTTCACGGGTCGAAGGTATGGGGCTCAGGCCATAGGGGTTCCGTGTTCCTCAGTGTGGACGGTTTCTTGGTTTTGGGGGTTGAGGTCTCAAAGGTTGGGTTCGGGGTTAAGGGTTGTGAGTGGTTTGGTTGTAGGGTCTGGAGGTATGGTTCAGGGTGTACCGTAGGGCTTGGGGTTCAGTTGGTTCAGGCCTTAAACACGAAGCCCAGCTCGAGTTGCCAGACCCAAATTGACACCTGCCAGTCGAGTCTTGGCATGGCGACTGTATCGTCCTCGAGCTTGACAGCCTTAACTCAGCTTTGTACGCTCGTGACGCTGGTGATGATGGAGGACGAGTTTTTTTGTAGAGATCGTATAGCAGCATAACTTAACGGTCCTCCCGGCACGCCGCCGCACCTGAGGCTTACGAGGAGTTTGCATCGCTGCGCGTGCCGCCGAACTCGCCGGTGCAGCCCCGAGTACCAGGGCCTGCGTATAACCCTACGAGTTATGAACCCTGTAATACCGGAAACCCAAACCATATAAGGAGGCTGCAAGGTTTTGCGCAGTGGGGCACACGCTGGCCTGAAGTTCGCGGGAGGTCGGATCTGTGTTGTCATCAAGACGTCGAGTTTGAGACCTAAGCTCTGGGGATTGTCTTGAGAGCAGCTGCCACTGACTGCCAGCATGTTCCAGCACGGCAGAGCGGCTTCGCCGAAGAAGCCCCTTAATGTATCACTCAAGTCTGCTTACCTTTCGAATTTCGACGTGCGCACAGTCCGCATAGAGTTGTCCTGCAATCAGACTCCAAAACCCAAGCTTACTGTTCGGGCTCCTATGTTATTCAGATGTCAAAGCACCGGCCATTGTGCTCAGAAGTCCATCAGACAGGCCTAAGTGAAAAGGAGCAGCTATCCAGACACTCAGCGAACTGCAATCTTCTTGTAAATTCGATGGCCCTTGAAACTTCGCTTTCGAAGGCACCAGCGCTAAGCCCTACACGCCAAAACTTCTCAGTGTTGTGGGTGCCCCTCAATCCTGAACAGCGAAGCTGCTTGCCCAGCGGAGATGTTCCCAAGAGCACGAAGTCGCGCAATGCTTAAGCGGATAATGATCATGATGAGGATCATGCGGTGGTGATGATGAAGTTGACGTTCGTGGTGACGACTATAGACTATTGCTAGTGCTAGTGGTACTGTGTGCCCCGCGGAATTCTAAAAGCCCGGGCTCGCGCAGAACAAGTCCCTCACCCCCGCTGTGGCCGCGGCCTTCCGGGCGATGGAGCGTGACCAGGCGCAGACTCGGGAGGCTTGCCCATCCCAAACGGTCTCGATAATGCAGGAACCTGATTAAGTAACCCTGGGCCTACAACCCCAGAACAGTAGGATTCACATAAGGAACCCTAATCAAGGCCCAAGGTTTCTTAATCAGGGTCCTACACTATGTCTGAAGCAAGAAGCCCTTTGTTGCGAAACCCAGCTTTTGGAAGTCGTGTTCACGTTCCGGTTTGGGCTGCTACATCCAGAGCTCCTTAGGCCTTAGGAGGCACTGGCCAGATTTCACAATTCTATCAAACGCTCTACTTTTGGCTTCTGAACTTGGGACCTCCCGAGGCCTATGCTAACTCTAGCACGTGACTTCCGGCCTTTCGATTCACAAGCTGTTGCAAAGAGCAATGGTTTAGGGATGAGGGTCTAGGACCAGGCCTTGACTCCTTGACCCCACCATACGGACTGTAACCTGCTTAGTGTGCCTTTCTGTTTGGGTTTGCGGCTCGGGGATTAGGTTTCGGGGCGCCATCCTGAAGCCAAACCTTAGGCAAGCCTCTCCGCCAAAAGGTGCCTGCGGCGCAGTGCATGCGACGTGTTCTGGCCAGTCCCCCAAAATGGATTTCAGCTTCTGGGTTTCGGGCTTGTGGCGCAGGGCATGCAGTTTGGGGAGTGGGATTGACGCTTTGGGGCGCAGGGTACGCTTAACCCGACACCGAGAAACCTCTGTTACTTCGGATATGTCAGAGTACCCCTTGAGAATGCGAAGAGAGGGAGGCGGCAAGAGAAAGGGAGAGCAAGCCTGCACACAACGCGTTCTCTACGCTCAAGCCTGTTGTTCTGGTGGTTTTGCAAACCCTGGACCCTTAACACCCCTTAACGCAATTTATGTCGCAGGTTATGGTGGCCCTACCCCGTGCGATACGCTTTTGGTCCTTTCAGATTCCTTGTGAGTTTAGGCCTTGAGTCCTGTGCGTGCAGGTTATGCAGCCCCAAATCTTTTGGTGCTAGTAGGTTGCGCAACCCTAAACCCGAAACCCTAAGCCCTTTTGTTTTTGTTGCGCACCGGCGGGAGCCAACCCCCTCCCCTCCTCCACAGCCAAAGGGTATCCCCATTCGGTCATCCACCCTTTTTATGTGGAGCGGCTCTGTGCATGGAATAGTGGGGTGGTTTGTTTGGTTTAGTCTCCTTCTCTGTGGGACGGCTGGGGTTTGAGCTTCGGAGTTCAGTCACCCTCCCCTGCCCTCTCTATCTCTGGAACAGGGGCCCTCCGCACAGCCTTGGTGTATTTGGAGGGGGGGGGGGAAAGAACGCACAGCCCTAAACCCTAAGCCCTAAACCATATATCCTGCATCTTGGATACTGCCCCCACCCAGTAACAGTTGGATAATATTCATAATAGAGATATATTAGGCCCTTAATAGCAGCCCTATTATAGACTGTTGGTGTATGGGGGCAGTATCCAACTTGTATCCCTAGAGATCCCCCAAGCCCTAAGCGCCACAAGTTCCGGGCTTCGGGCCACGAGGCTTCAGGGCTCGGCGCCGAAGGCTCGCGTTAGGAGGTGGGTTTGTTTGGTTTTAGGGGTTTAGGGTTTAGGGTTTAGGGTTTAGGGTTTAGGGTTTAGGGTTTAGGGTTTAGGGTTTAGGGTTAGGGGTTACGAGTTAGGGGTTTAGTTGTTCGGGTTTGGAAGTTTGGAAGGGTTTAAGGGCTCAGCCACCCCCAGACAAACCCTACGGCCCGAGAGCTTGAAATCCACCAACCTTTCAGAAGTACAAGGCCCCATGAGCCCCCAAAACTGTGTAAATCTGCCAAACTCTAAACCCTAAACCCTAAACCATCAGCCCTAAACCCTAAACCCCAAGCCCCAAACCCTAAACCCCAAACCCTAAACCCCAAAACCCCTCCAAAGCCTGGGCCCAAGCCCTGCCCTCTCTTCAAACAGGAGGCGGCCCTTGAGCAGATCGGTGAGCAGGAGCAATGCCACTAACCCGAGGCAGGGCACATGGGTCTGTCTTTTTTCTTCCGGTATGGTTGCAAAAACAGCCTAGACAATGGAATATTATGGGGTATTTTCGATTATGTTGTATTCCATCGTAGCATAGTCGTTTGTCTACCATATTTTGCCATAGTATGGGTTTCTAGCCCTTTGACCCGGCTTAGTCGGACGAGGCTCGCTTCCTGTCTTTGGGGAGTCTTTAATCGGATTTATCGGAGCTTTTCCTCGAGGGTTTGGGTTTAGGTCTACTTTGTCGGATTTCGAGAGGGCGGATTCAGGATGTAGAGTTTCGCATGCAGAAGACAGGAGAGTTCGCACCGATTTTATCCGCAAATTTTCCGCAGGCTTCCCACGTAGTGGTTTGTCGTTGTTTAGCGAATTCTTATGCCTACTCCAAATGGCCAGCGGTGAATAGTCAGAGTCTCTGTTTTCCGAACCGTATGACAGCTCTTTCCCTGGTTCTACTCGTGGCCTGCCTGCTGGGAAGTGCCTGGAGCCATCGGTTGCAGGACAGGGTCCGGGTGCCGGTGGCAGAGGGGGAGTCGGTCGGCGCAAGGCAAATTCAGGGCGAACTGCAGCAAGAGTTGCCGGAGGGAGGATCTTCTCTGGGTTGCTACCCCGTCCTCAGGCCGCCCCAAGAAAGGAGCATCCTGTTCCTGGAAGGGGCGCTGCATCTAAACACGGACAACACAACTTGCAAGCGACAGTTGGGCGGACTCCTGAGAGCTCTCATCGCCGCCTGCCTCGAGAAAACCCAGTCCGCAGAGGTGAACGCTTATGGGCACAAGCAGCTGTTCGCTCCCTTCGCCTTGAAGCCGAAGACCTGCAAAGAGAGCGCGAAAGACATCTTCCTTCACGGCGAGGACTTGGTTGGCACCTATCGTGTACCGCCAGAGCTCGTGGCGGATGGCAAGGTGCCAGACGCGACTGTACCTCTGGTGCAAAGCCTGGACTTCCTCAAGTCTTGGCTCGTCCCACTGGCAACCGCCAAGAAGGATGCACTCATTTGGGCTGGTTTTTGGACAGATCCCCACGATTCTCACGGCAAGCGGAGAAGAACCTCGGTCGAGATGCTCGCCGAATTTGCAAGGCGAACCGAACACGACACCGTGCATCCTGACACAGTACTGGGAAGTCTTATTGAAAAGCACGGGGCCTTGGGCCGTTGCCGCGACACCGTCGAACAGCACATGGTGGAGAATCTCTGGAAACTGGCAAGCTTTGCCTTCGTCTCTGGCATGCGAGAGAAAGGTCAAAACACCGTCGTAGCCTTGGTGAACAAGCAGCTTGAGGGCGAGCGCTCCTTGCAGAAGTCAGTCCTCTTCCAATACGAGGTGCCGACGCTGGGGCTTGCTGCGTGGGGCATGGGCTACTGGTCTCCGAAAGTGCTCCTGATCGACTTGAAAGGCACGTGTTCCCGGACGAGCCCGGCGCTGCGCAGGCAGATGTTTAAAGCTCTGAAACCCTGGTACCTGGACAGGAGGAAGGACCCGGCAGATCAACACCGCGATTTTTCCAACCAAAAAATTAATGGCTTATGGTTCGGATGATCATGACTATCTTTCCACAAACCAAAGTCGAAATCTAAGTTGCAAGAAAGAGCGGTTCTTGAGATTGCTGCTTTCTATGCTACTGGAAGAAGTGTTCTCGTTGCGGCGTTAGTGTGTCATTATTGAAATGGTCGCAAGTCTAATGGTCATTGTCATTTCTCAAATAATGTTGATCGTCGTCGTTGTCATCATCATCACCATCATCACCACCATCACCATCATCCTCTTTAGCTTCATCTTCACCATCACCATCATCATCATCTTCTTCATCATCACCACTACCATCATCATCATCATCATCACCATCACCACCATCATCATCACCGTTATCGTCGTCATTATCATCACGATCCCCATCACCATCAACATCATGATCATCATCATCATCTTCATCACCATCAGCATCTTCATGTTCACCTTCACCATTTGCATCATCATCATCATCATCATCATCATGATCATCAACATCATCTTCGTCAACGTCATCAACATCATCAGTATCCCCAGCATCATCATCACCGCCACCATCATGACCATCGTATTCGTCACTTTCTTCGTCATCGTTCTCATCATCTTCAGCATCATCATCATCATCATGACCAGCAGCACATCATCGTCACAGTCACCTCATCGTCAGCATCGTCAGCATCAGCATCGTCATCGTCTTATCGTTGCTGTGCTGGATTCTTGAGTGCTCTTCCTATTATCAACCCGGTGTGTTGAAAAAATCGCGTTATCAGGAGCATTCGCACACAGACAACGTAGAATTCGCGGCTGAGGCTTTAGGGTCAAGGCCAATGGATATACTCAAAGTCGTGGCAGCGTTGCCGTGTGGCTTGGCACGGTCCATTGATGAAAAAGGCTATGCTTTGGCAGCCTTCTCAAGGCCCTTTTAGGCGGAGAGTTTACTGTAGTCGGGGGTCCACATCACACTCCATAGAGCCTGCAAGGCACATGCCTCTGCTGACCAAGAGTTCGGCTGGATTAGGGGAGCCGTGGGGATAATAGAGCCATCCTTACGATGCTTAGTGTTGTCATTGTCATGACTATGTTAGCCTCAGAGCTACTCCGAGTGCAATTGCGACTTGCTTGTTATCTTTCAAGACAAGCAATCTGCGAGGATCACTGGAGCCCGCAAGAGTTTGCAGCGAAGTCTCGCATCACCTGGCAGTGCTTGAATTGTCCGAACTCCGTCTGTTATCTCGATCAGCAGCTGGCCTCGCGTGTGAAGACTATACAGGAGGCCAGCTTCACCCTCAGGGCTTGGTTGTGTGCGATCCTTCGCAAGCATGGTTTTTCATTCATTATTGCCATATTGGGCTACTACAACTGATCATTTTAAGCTGTTGTTATGTTCTACAAGGCTTACTGTGGTTTTGGGCCAGAGAAGAAGTCTATCCTGGTCGAGAAGCGGCGACGGGTCAGGTTCGAGTTAGCATCTTGGTGGCGTTGTTTTGGTGCCTGAGTTTTCTTTAGGTTTTTTTTGGATGCGGTGCTCGAAAGGATTGGGTGATGCTTGCAGCGCTCCTGGTGACACGTGCTGGGCGTTTGCTGTGAGGTACTGCGATTTGTTGTCTGTCGGTGACTTTGGCGTGTGAACCTATCTTGTGCGTCTGGGGTGGGTTGAAGGAGAAGAACGGCAAAATGAGCCAGATACTTGTCGTTTGGTTGGATAGCGCGTAGAGGGGCTACTTATGGTGCAGCATCTCCTAGCGCTCGAGATTTGGGCCCTGCGAATGTGAAGTTTCTGCGATCTCTACAGGCGCAAAAAAAGAAGATCGCGCGAGATGATGACTTGATCAATGCCGCGTGGCTCGGCAAACGTGACAAGGTCAAGAGACTGTTGAAGCAGAAGGCAGACATCCGCTACCAGGAGACACTTCGCATCATCACACTAAGTGTTATTCCTGTAATCCCAAGCTTTATTGCCTTAGTTTTTGCACTATTCCGGTTAGCATAACCAGTATTGAGTCAACAATTATCACTGCTGCCAGCACCATCTTTCTTCCGTTTATTCGTTAAGCTTGCGACATTAAAGTCTACTGGGGACTACTTCTCCGGTCCTTCTTACTAGTGCTGCAGTTAGCATGAACCCTGCAAAGGTGGGGTCAGGTGGCATAACATGTCGCCTGAGCGGAAGATGAGTTTAATCGCCATCAGCCCTAAACCCGAAGCCCAGAACTCTATACCCCTCGAACCCGAAACATCTCCTCAGACTTTCCAAACAGGGCCCAGATCTCGCCATTACCCGTCTCCCCGATAGAATCTGGGCCACGCCCGCCAAGATGGGAGACAGCGGCAGGCCCTCAGTTTCTCACTTTGCGGTTGCAGGCAGGAGATGAGGAAGTGGAATGGGAAAAACCCAATCAGTCAAACGCCCAGACCTTTTTTCAACATGTTGCAGGATCCTTTTCAAACCACCGTACAATTTCGACCCAACCAGTTTTTTTTTTCCAACGTGTTGGGGGCTATGCAACTCCTGGAAACATTGAATGGCGAAAAGTCGAAATCACAGGCAAACTGTCAGAAGCACACAAAGACAAGGCTGTAGTCCCAAACCCCCAATCCTAAATAGTAACCCTTATAGTAGCCCTTGAAGGAACTTTATCCGTTCATCTTACAGGAGCCTGTGAACGGTCAGACGGCCTTGCACTACGCTGCGAAGCACGGGGGTGTCGGGATGGTTAGCTTGCTGCTCACGAAGAAGGCGGACTTCCTCGGGATTTTCAGCTTAGGGTTTCTAGGGTTTATGGCTTCCAGGAATTTAGAGTGTTCGGGTTATGTTGCTTTTTGTATTTGGGGTTTCTCATCCCATACCTGAGCAGAGCCGCAGGCAGACATCCATTTGAAGGATCGGGACGGCAAGACACCGTTGCATGTGGCTGTAGAAGATTTCGACGGGCACTCTCTTGCTGGGACGGACATGGTTCACCTGCTCCTCAAGGGCAGAGCAGACGTAAACGCTCGCAATGACAAGGGCCAAACTGCACTGCAAGTGGCACGCGAAATGCGGGTCGACAGCCTGGACCCTGCGATGGTTCGAATGTTGCAAAGCTGGGAAGAAAACCTTCCCGAACATCTTTCAGAGTAGTAGACTAGCACCTTTCAATCTGTTGGTTGCGCGCTTCATTTCGAAAAGCTTGGTGGGTTGTCATTCGGCTGTAAGGATGTTGGATTTCACAGCAACATGTCTCAGCAACGAAAACGAGACGTGTTCGCCCTGCGTGAGGGTTTAAGCGCAGTGCGTCTGTCGGTGTTCGCTGTGTTTGTTGTCCGGCTTGGTCCATGTCAGTGTAAATTCTGGACATGGATACTGCAGAGAAGTCAAAACTTGGAAGAAAATCCTGACCGTGTTAGGCTCTGGACATGCATCACAAGAGCGTCTTGCAGGAGACCCTTTGTTGTTGGAAATACCCCGCGCAGTCCCTACAGTAACCCGGGACTGATGACTAATTGCAATGCTGAGCCCGATTACCTCAGTCCCCTTGACAGAGGTTTATGCTGAGCCAATAAGCAGAACAAGACTGCCGCAACCACGCATCTGAATCCAACTACGAGGCCAAGGATGTTTCGCTGCATACTGTAGGTCCTAAACTTCCTAAACCCACAGCCTTAAATCCTTAGCGCCAAGCTCTAGGTCCTAAGCAGGTTTGGGGTTCTCAGATTCGCAGTTCTGACCCTGCGCATGCTCACCGTCAAGGACGTTTTGCAGGCGCAGTAGCAGTAGCAGTAGGAGTAGTAGAAGTAGTAGTAGTAGTAGTAGTAGTAGTAGTAGTAGTAGTAGTAGTAGTAGTAGTAGTAGAAGTAGAAGTAGAAGTAGAAGTAGAAGTAGAAGATTCGGCTCATCCTAACGTGAAGGCGCGCGAGGGAAAGCAGTTGCCGGGGTGTAGGCTTGTATGCAAGACGCACGCTTGGTGAGGTCCGTTGAAGATTGCAGCAAGATGCCAACGGTTTCGGTTCGCCAGCTCGCACATCGTTTTTTGCGAAGTACTGAACATGGCGCTTCTCTCCCTGGTTCTGCTCGTTTCCTGCGTGGGCGGTACTTTGAGCCACCGGTTGCAGGCGCTGCGGGCGGCCTGGGAGGTGGAAGAGATCGGCGCAGAGCAAATTCAGGGCGAGCTGCTCAAGACGCTGCCGGAGGGAGATTTTTCCCTGGGAGGTTACCCCATCTTCAGGCCGCCCGAAGAAAAGAGCGTCCTGTTCCTGCAAGGGGCCTTGGATGTGGGAGCGGGCAACACTACTTGCCAGCAACAGTTGGGTGGACTCCTGAGGGCTCTCATCGCCGCCTGTTTCGAAAAGGCACCGGGCGGACAGGTGGAAAAGGCATTGAACGACATGCTCTTCCCTGCCTTGAAGCCGAAGACCTGCAAGGAGAGTGTCGAAGACATCTTCCTTCACGGCGAGGACTTAGTTGGCACCTTCCGTGTGCCCCGAGAGCAGACGCTGAATCTCAAGGTGCCAGAGGCGACTTTACCCTTAGTGCAGAGCCTGGACTTCCTCACCTGGTGGCTCGTCCCACTGGCGATTGCCAAGAAGGACGCGCTCATCTGGGCTGGCTTCTGGACGGATCCTAAGGATCCAAAAGGCAGCGAGAGCAGGACCTCGCGTCAGAAACTCTCCGACTTTGCCTTGCGAACCGAGCACGACACTGTGCATCCTGACACAGTTCTGGGAACTCTGGTCGAAAAGCATGGAATGTTGGACCATTGCTCCGACACCACCGGGAAGGAACTGGCGGACAACATGTGGAAACTGGCAAGCTTTGCCTTCGTCTCTGGCATGCGAGAGAAAGGTCAAAACACTGTCGTAGCCTTGGTGAACAAGCAGCTTGAGGGCGAGCGCTCCTTGCAGAAGTCAGTCCTCTACCAATACGAGTTGCCGACGCTGGGACTTGCGGCGTGGGGCATGGGTTACTGGTCTCCCACTGTGCTCCTCATCGACTTGAAAGGCACGTGTTCCAGGACGAGCCCGGCGCTGCGCAGGCAGATGTTTGGAGCTCTGAAACCTTGGTACATTGACAAAAAGAAGGACCCGGAAAGTCAATGCCTTTGCGAATTGATATGGTTCTTCTGATGTCTTGTGTCTTGTTCGTGGATGATCGGGACATTTTTCTTGCCAGTACTGCCATCAGAATCAGTACTATTAGTGTCACGACGGCTTTACCATCATACCTCATGACTCGAGTCAACAGAGGTTCTCATATAGATAGTATCACCGCATCTGTCGTCTACCCACTTCTGCTGCTACTACCTCCTCCTCTTCCTGCTCCTCCCGCTCCTGCTCCAACTCCTGCTGCTGCTGCTGCTCCCGCTCCTGCTTTGTCCTGCTGCTGCCACTGATATTGCTACGAAGATGTACTGCTGCTGCCAGATTACTCTGATTACTCTGCTGCCGCCCTATGACTATGTCGACGATCTGCTGCTGCTGCTGTTACTGCTGCTGCTCCTGTTACGACGACGACAACAACTACTACTGCGACTATTAACTTACTGCCACTCCTGCTGTTGTTGCTGCTTTTGCTCCGCCTGCTTCTACTGCTATGGTTATGACGACGACTGCTGCTTACTCCTGCTGCCACCACTTACCGCCACCTCTACCGCCAAACCCACTACTCACCCCTACTGCTGTTTTTCTGTGGATGTTACCCTCGGTACCACATGTACCACCAACATCTATGTCGCGGCACTCCTACGATTACGACCGCTGATACGATTGCGTCCTGTGTTGTCACAATGATTATCGTCATCATGCCTAGTTCACTTGCAGCATGAGCCTCAAAATCTACTATAGTGGGCGAGATAATTGCCAATACAGCTTTGGGGGTTCCTTATCATTGGTATAGTTTAGTTTTGGTGTAGTATCTGATAATGGAGAGAATCATTACAATATAGTATATTGTAGCTATAGTCTACGTATAGTGTCTACTCTAACTAAAGACTACTTGTAGTCTATTGGATAGTGTAACTATAACTAGTACAGGATACATAGTTTTACCTGTAGGCTACTACTTATAGCATAATATGGGTGGTTGTCAAAATTACGGTCCCTTTTTGGCTCCCTAATATACTACGGCACCAATTATTTATGATACCCCAAAAGGGACCTTAATTTAGATAGCTACCCAGATGAGCATCTAGACTAACCCTAAACCCTAAACCCTGAACCCTAAACCCTAAACCCGAAACCCTGAACCCTAAACCCTAAACCTTAAACCCTAAACCCTAAACCTTAAACCCTAAACCCTAAACCCTAAACCCTAAACCCTTAGACGGTACATGTCGAAACGGGCATTGCCGTCCTGGCGTTCGCGCCTCTCGCAGACTTGTGCTGTGCAGAAAAGGAGCTCAAAAAAAAAAAAAAAAACCCTTAGACGGTTCTTTCGGTACATGGCAGGAGTACTGGAGCGCGTGCGAGTTCTCCACCAGAGCTCGCCTCTCCTGGCAGTGCTCCTGGGCTTTGATATGGGGGGTTTCCGAAAATAGGGGACCCTAGTATAGTACCCTTAGGGTTCCTCTAAAGGGTACCATAAGGGTTCCTGTAAGGGATCTATAAGGGTTTAGGGTTTAGGGTTTCCGAAGATGGGGGACCCTACTATGGTACCCTAAATAGTAGGATGCCTATTCTATGGACCCCAAAATAAGGTACCCCTAATTTCCGGAAACTCCCATATGCTCTCGTTTGAAAGAAGGGTTTCCTGTTTTTTAACTTCGGTTAAATCCCTGAACCCTAACCCTCAAACGCTAAACCCTAGACCCAACACGGACGAACAACAAGCGCAGGCATGGACTGTCCGAAGTCCAGCTGCGAACTCGATGAGCGCCTGGCGCGGTGGTTGAAAGGCTTCCAGGAGGCTTCTTAGATGATGTTAAATAAGACTTCATACTTCAAGACGGTTCAGGGTAGAAGGTTAGGATTTAAGATGACTGATTTTAAGTTACCATGGAAAGGAACACACAATATTTATACTGCAACCTGCATCTTTTTGGGTAGCTTAAATCGAGCTCCGTTCGGGCCTAGGATTCCAGCGCAGTGCCTTCGTCGAAGCCGCGTGTTTAAACAGCAAATGGCAGCCCACCCGATGACGCCCTGAACCCATAAACCCCAATCGAAGCCCTGCACTACAGCACAAATCAACAACCCTACAGCCCCATGCCCGAATTGAAGTACAAACGAAGGCGAAGATGAAGCAACACGAGAAAGACGAGGAGCTGGCCGACGCAACGTGTTTCCGCCGGGAGCCTTGGTATGTTAAGGTTAGGGGCCTCTGGCATGTTTTTGATTTTTGGTATTCAACACTATCTCCGTGAGAATTTAACGGGCCAGTTCAGGAGGACGTGGTGAGTCGCCTGCTGGAGGGAAAGGCAGACCTTCGCTACCAGGTTGGGAGTTTTTCTAAGAATTCGGGTTTACAGGATTTCAGGTCTTAGGTTTTGCATGCGGTAGTGTAGTAGTGGCGGCGGCAGTGGTGCAGCGGTGGCCATCGTGACCAGCAGTAGTCGTCGCAGCTGCAGTCGCAGTCGCAGCAGAAGCAGCAGAAGCAGCAGAAGCAGCAGAAGCAGCAGAAGCAGCAGAAGCAGCAGAAGCAGCAGAAGCAGCAGAAGGAGCAGAAGGAGCAGTAGTAGTAGTAGAAGCAGTGAGTAGCAGTAGTAGTCGTCGTGGTGGTGGTGGTGGCAGCAGTGGCAGCACCAGTAGTAGCAGTAGCAGCGGCAGCAGCAGCAGCAGTAGCAGTAGCAGCGGCAGCAGCAGCAGCGGTAGCAGTAGAAGTGGCAGTAGCAGCAGTAGTAGCAGAAGAGTGGGAGGATCATCAGGAGTAGCAAGGAGGAGTACGATAATTATGTGTCTTACTGTCGTTATTGCTATACTGCTTCCCCTCCTGTTCCTCCTCATCATTAGCATCTTGATCCCAATCCTTCGTCTCTGGTCAGGAGCCGTTTGGAGGCAACACCGCCCTTCACCACGCAGCACAGCACGGGGGTGTGTCAATGGTCGAGCTTCTGCTCATGAAGAACGCCGACATCCATGCAAGGGATAAGTTTGGCAACACGCCGCTGCATCTGGCCATCGAATACTTTGCAGTTGGGAGGGGCATTG